ATTAGTTTTTAAAATCTGCTGTGTATTTACTTAATGAGTGCATTTTACATTGAACTGTCTATAGTGATATACTGAAAGTATAGTAACTGCAGTGTACAGGATGCAGAATAATCTAGTAAATTTAAATGTGCTACTTTTTTCCCATCAGGCAGAAGACAAATATAGACAGGAAACAATCACAAAACTGTTTGATCTCTCAAGTTCACTGAATGACAAGGAGCAACTGGTAAATGCTAATGTTTCCTTAACCTTTGTGGTTTTCAATGTGTTCCTCAACCGGCTGTCACACTCACTATGCTTTGCTTCTTTCTGGGAAATTTTCAGAAACTATTCAAGGAAACCCTGCAGAAAGCAATACAAGAAGAACAAAGGCTAAAGGTGAGTTAGTCAGTCTCCAAGTTACTCACATTTTGGCTGAGAAAGTGTTTAATTCATCACATTACTAACAAAAGACTCCAATAACATCAGCATAGCTTTACTGATCTGATAATTAGTGATTTGATTAAGTGATTCTGCTAAAACTTTTATTTTTCTCATTCAGGCAAAATATATGTACAGAATAGCAACATCAGGTTTTGAGGAAATGTATGACCAAAGCACTCGTCAGCTGGAAATGGTGAAGAGATTATCGCCCGATAGCCCATTCGTTAACATCTGTTCGCACATGTTGAAGAATGTGAGAACTTTCATATACAAGAAGATGAGTTTGCTGCAAAAATAGAGAACTCAGAAAAGAAACTGGGTGCGATGAGGAGCTTGTGTCCCCATGAAGTTATACATATGTAACTTTATTAAATTAATTTGGCACAATGTTGTAGTAAACAGAGAATGTCTTTTGCTTTTCTGATATTGATCAGTGATTCATTACTGTTAATCAATTATATGTTTAAACATTATACATTTGTATGTTATCTAAATAAATGTATCATGTGAAAAAATGTTCTTGAGTTTTCTTTGTCAAACCCTAAAGTAAAAAAAAGAAATCAGAGCTGATGCTGCTTGTAGAAACTGTACCATCCTGCCCACTTACAACAGAGATGATGGCAGTCATAATGTTTTTTCTAAGTATTTGGATAATTAATGTATTTCTTCCTTTTATTTTTATCTATATATTTACTCACTTCCCTGCTATTTTACCTTTGTACAGCCCCACAGTGTCATTTTGTTACACTGTTTTAAATCAAACAATCCAGATAAGATTCAAGGAAACTTCTCCACCGTGTCATCATTTTCTTTGTGTACAACAAAATCTAACTTTTCAGTTTCATTTGTACATTTAATTAAAAAGTAGCATTAACTTTACATTTTGTTTTACTTCAGAGTTAAGTTTTAGTTTTAAACATATAAAGTGCAACGTTGAGAAGTTGTTGGATTTGTAAGCTGAGGTCTTATTCACATACACAAACTCACATATGAGAGCTGAGTGTTAGACCTTCGTCATCGACCCAGAGTTTTGAGTTTACATTATTATTGAACTTTGATTTTGAGATTATTTATCATAGTCTTTTGGTTTCTTTGTCAGAGTTCTGCCTTCTGGTTTCTGTTCTGTGTAGTTGCTCTTTTCCCGTCTGCTGTGTCCCCGTGTCAAGTCCACGTCTCTGTGTTATGTTTCCTGTTTTACTTTGAAACTCCATGTCTCATGTTAATGTATCTGGTTTTGCTTCCCTTGTCTCGTTAGCCCTGATTTGTCCCAGCTGTGTTT